CGTCAATGTGTGGTTGCCTCTTGCACACCCCCTACTGGGCACCTGGCCCACAACCCAGGCATGTGCCCTGACTGGGAATCCAACCAGTGACCCTTTGGTTTGCAGGCTGGTGCTCCATCCATTGAGCCACACCAGCCAGGGAGCATAAACTTCTTTACCTTTGTGGTGAATTGGCCTCTGAAACTTGAAATGTTTAATCCCACATCTCAGATGGACTCTCAGCCTGCCTGGAAACCTTATCCTTCTAGTTTAGAAGGCTTGTTTTCCTACTCTATAAAGTGAACATTTCACACATTTCTCCTCAAAGGACCTGTACGTAGTTCTTTTTCCTCTAGAGATGAGCTTGATTCATTCTTCTTTGAGAAAACGAGAGCAACCAGAGATAACTTGCCTCATCCTTCCCCACCCCAACTGGCCCAAGCCCTCTCTGTCTCACCTGCCCACCTACTAGCTGAGGCTGATTCCTCAACCTGGCCTTGGAGTGTGCCCACTTTGCCTCCGCCCTTCCCCACTCCACAGGTTTTGGTTATTCTCATCAACCTGAAACCCTTTCTAGCAACCCCCATCTCTTCTACTCCTACCTGCCACACACTGTTCTGCTCACTGTTCACAGAAAACTGTTGATGGAGTTGGCTATACCCACTGTCTGCATGCCTTCACTTTCCATTCTTACCTCAACTGGCTCAATGGGCTGCACAGTCACTCTCCCCCTAGATCATCTGTGACTTCCAAGATGCTAAACTGGATGTTTACTTTTCTCTCTTCTTACTAGATCTCCCAACAGCTTAGCTAGAGCTCACTGCTCCCTCTTTCATATACATTCTTTTCTTGGTTTCTTGGACACCCCACTCCCCTGGCTTTTCAGCTATCTCTCTGATCACTCTGGATTCCTTTGACAACTCTTCCTCCTCAATTTGACCTCAAGTGTTAGGATGCCTCAGGGCTCCTTGCTGAATCTCTTCTCTCAGTCCATATTCTATTCTATCCCTAGGTACTCCAATCTCACAGCATTAAAAACCATGTCTTCCAATAACTTCCCTGTATTTGCCCTCCAGCTCTGACCCTCTAACTTGTATATCCCTGGACTACCTGAAACCTCCACTTGGATGTCTAAGGGGATCTCAACTAACCTGACTAAAGTTTAATGCTTATTTTCTCTCCCCAAACCTTTTCTGTCCCCTCCTCCTTCCCATTTCAATAAAAAAGCCACCACCAATCTCCTTGTTGCTGAAGCCAGACACCTAGGTCTCCACGGCCACCACCTCAGTCAAGTGACAATCATGTCTACCTAGATGACGGCTCTGGCAGCCCAGATGATATCCCTGCTTCCATCCTCCACACAGCAGGCAGTGATCTTTTAAAATATAGGTCATTCCCTGGCTGATATAGCTCAGTGGATTGAGTGTGGGCTGCAAACCAAAGGATGGCTGGTTTAATTTCCAATCAGGGCACATGTCTGAGTTGTGGGCCAGGTCACCAGTAGGGGGTGCTCAAGAGGCAACCACACACTGATGTTTCCTCTTTTTCCTTCCCTTCCCCTCTCTAAAAATAAATAAAATCTTTTAAAAAAGTAGGTCAGTAAATATAACATTCCTATTAATACTCTCCACTGGTTTCCCATGGCACTTAGACCAAAATCCAAACTCCTGGAGGATCCAGGGCCCTGTGTGATGGGCTATGCCTTCAGTTTTTATCTTTGCACGTTCTAAATTCTCCATCCCAGGGACACTGGCCCCCTTTCTTTAGCTCCCACCAGCAAACTCCGTTCCTGCCTCAGAGCCTTTGCACTTGTTCCTTTTGTCTGCACTCATGGCTGGCTTAGCTAGGCTCAAATATCACCTCCTGATAGAGGCTGCCTCTGAACACCGAGTAACAGTAGCACTTACTTCCCTCTGAAGTCATTGCCATATCCACTTGTTTCTCGCTCCGCCCCAGCCTTATACCATCTGAACTTACATTATTTTCTGCTTTCTCAGTTATTTCTGTCTCCCCTGCCCACTATAATGTAAGCTTCAGGGTAGCCCGGACCCAATGTATGCTCAAAGCCTAACCATACTGAATACACAGGAGGCACTCCGTAAATAGTAACAGCGACTGTTCGCAAGACATACAGATGCCCAGACTCTTGTACAATTTTCTTCTGGGGGCCACTGTTCTGCCTTAGAATTGAGAAGAGAGTATTCTCAGTCACTGATACAATCCAGAGTGACAAGAGGACCCAGACTTGGGCCCAGGTGAAACAGGCTGAAAGATAGAAGAGACAGAAACCAGAGGCAGAAACACAGACCCAGAGCGAGTTCCAGAGTAAGCAAGAGAGACAAGGCGGAGACCCAGGCTCAGAGACTCAGAGACTAGTCAGAGACAGGGATAGAAGGAGGGGCGCGGAGGGAGGCGGAACACGCCGGAAGACAGAAGAAAACCTGCGCTGCGAGGAGTCAGGCCGCCCCCGCCCCCAGTTACGAGTGGCCACTGCATCTGGCGAGCGTGCCCCGACGCCCGCCGGCCCGACGCGTGCGGGATCAAAGCCGCCGGGAAGGGGCGGGCGAGGAGGTGGCAGGAACCTGGAGGTGTGAGCGAGCTTCCCAGGGAATGGCAGGAGCGTGGGAGCGCAGAGTGCCGGCAGGCGACAGAGACCCGGAGAGCAGGCGAGAGATCCCAGAGACCCGGAGACACCCAGAGATCGAGATGCAGTCGCAGATGCAGAGAGAGACGGAGAGGCCGGAGACCCCCGGAGTCAAAGAAGCAGAGACAAGTAAAGAACCAGAGAGATGAGCGCAGAAATTGCTGAGACCAGGAGAGAACGTGAAGTATAGAGACAGAGACTCCAAGAGGTACTCAGCACAGAAAAACTGCGACAAAAAAAGGCTGAGACACCTGGACTTTGAAAAAGAAAGGGCGCTTTAGAGAGAACAGGAGGTGAGAGAGAGAGAGAGAGAGAGAGAGAGAGTGAGGCGGGAAATGGAAAGAAGAACAAGGCAATTAGAGCGCGTGGGGCGGGAATACCTCGCCCCGCCCCTCGGTCCAGAGGACCCCCGGGGTAGGGATCCGAGCGCCGTGTCTTTTCTCAGGGTCACGCCTGCGGAGGTGCGGGCACCCGGGGCGGAGGAAGGGGTGGAGAAGGCAGCAGGATCCCCTGGCGGGGAAGAGGGGCGTGTGAGGACATATGAATCAGTATCTCCATCCAGAGTGTCAAACCCTGCGATAAAGTAAAAAAGTTAAATGTTAATATTTGGTTGATATATTGAACAAAGATGCCGCACGGACAAATCATCAGGTTTCTTTCCGTTTGGGGGAAAAGGAGAGAAGAAAAAAAAAGCACACGTTGCATTGGCCGGGAATCGAACCCGGGCCTCCCGCGTGGCAGGCGAGAATTCTACCACTGAACCACCAATGCCCATGCAAGTACACCTTTAGCAAAGCTTACAAGAGATTAAAGTAGGGTTGGTCAGGTGGTTGTATGAACTAGGGACCCAGTGAGAGACAGAATAGTTCACCGGGGTGGAGCGAACAGGCCATCTTTCCTCTCGCCGGAATCCGGCCACCCGACCATAAAATCCCCCATATGGCCAGGGGCGGCCCCACACCCGGGTGCGAACAGCCGGGGGCCCCCAAATCTCGCGTGCAGGTGAGAAAAACTCAGCCTGAGCCCAGGTTCCCAAGGAGGGGGGCATCGGGGGCTGCTGGGGCCACACATCTGCGCTCCCATTTGGCCTAGGTAGGGGGAGGTGGGATTACCGGGGGCCCTGAACCCAAATGGGAGCGTCCTCCCCAAGGTCTGTGTCCCTTGGGACTCGGGCTTTCGCAAGGCAGGCTCCGTGCAAAAACAATAAAGTGTGGAGGGGCAGGAGAGGGCTAAGCGGAGTCCCATTCGTTTCCGACTCTGCAGCTATCTTCCGACTCGGCCTCCAACCTTGTCTTTACGTCTGCGTGTCCCTAGCACTTTTGCTGTCCAGTTAAATCTCTGATCTTATCTTGGCAGGCATTTTGTCCTGAAGTCTCCGCATGTTCACGCATCACTTTGTAGAGGGTCATAGTATAGGTTTGAAGTCGGTGTTGATCCCGTTTTCGTATCCCTTTCTTGTCCGTTCAAGAAAACTACCTGCTCCTCTGCAGTCACGAGGGGGTTCCTGGGAATAAGCAAAGTGAGCACACTTGTATCAGGTGTTCTGGGAGCCATATGCCTAACTGTCCTATAATTTTGAATCAAATAACTTGTAAATGGAAAGATCTCTCCACTCCTACCTGTACTTCAAATCTTTGCTCTGTCTTCCTTGGGGGTCCCCCCGCCCCATTCCAGATATCCCTCAGGATGATCCTTTTCTCGATCACCTACTTTATTCTGATTCTATAATAGATACTTGATAATATACCCCTCCTATCCTTTCTAGTGCATATCTCAGTATAAAACTATCTGGGTTTAGACCAGTGCCCAGCGCTCATGAGTGCGGTAGACCATCGTTCGTTCCTCTGGACTCTGATGTGTGGACCAAGTCCCTTTCCCTGATGCGGAAATTGAATTCGACTGCCTTAGATCATACAGAGCTTCTCTTCCACCTCCAGAAAGAGCCCCAGCTGAATTAGACAGATCCACCTCGCACACTCAGGTCTCTCCCAATCTTACGTAGGAAGTAAAATTTGGGGGAAGATGTATAGGATCTAGCCTAGGGCTGGCTAACTTCTACTTTACGGGTCAGTGAGGGTACAGAGACCTCCCCCAAAAGCTGCTATTCTGGGGCGAGTTTTGCCCCCAAATCACCTGAACCATCTCCCCCTAATAACCTCTTCCCTTCAGCTGGGACCCGCCTTATTATACAGCCTTATGTCCCTAAACCAGCTGGTGCTGCATTGACCCCTCATTTCCCGCACTCCCAGGCCAGGTCCACTCCTTCCCCTCCCCCTTGCGCTCCTCCCCTTTCCGGGAGCCTCGTGCCCCGGGCCAAGCTGGGAGGGATCCAGGTGCCTAAGAGGGCGGGTCCGGGTCTCCCCTGTCCCCCCCACCCGGGAGCCTGAGGGATATAAGGCACAACGCGCACAGAGGCTCGGTCCACATCAGGGTCCAAAGGAGCGATGGTCACCCGGGATCGAGCCGAGAATAGGGACGGCACCAAGGTGAGAGGCGGGAGAAGAGGGAGCAGAGATCCTTGGTCCAGTCAGGGGACCGTGTCTCTGAGACCGTGGGTCTGGGAAGAGGCTGGAGACGCTGGGCTGGAAGGGGGAGGTGCGCACGGGAGATCCAAGCAGCCAGGAGTTGGGGAGAAAGCTGCAAATTAAGAAGGGAACAGGGTCGGAGCAGGACCTGCGTGGGCGGCAGAAGCAGAGGTCTGGGGTTCGGATGATGGGAGTTGGCAGCTTGATGCCTCGAGGGCGTGGGAGGGGGCTGGTGTTTGAGTGAAGTAACCAAGAGGAGCACAGAGCTAAGGAAGGAGGGTGGAAACAAAAAGCGGAGATATACACCTGCTCCACGCGGGCTGGCCCAGTGGGCACTGGTACCAGAGGCCGGAGACCGGGTGGAAGATTTTAGAACCAGTTGAGAACGGTGACCGCTTAAACGGGTTAGAGAGAGAAGAGGAGGCGCGGTTGCGCTGGGTATCTCACTTTCTACACTCAGGGTCGCCAACTCTGAGTCCAGCACCTTGTGGCCCACGTGTCTGGGCGCAAAGAGGGCCCCCAAAGTTCTCCACTGAGACAGAGAGAGACTGCACGATGCGGAGAAGTAGAGAGAAAAGAGGAGGAGAAGGAGAGACACAGAGGGGAGGAGGGAGGACAAGACTGAGAGAGGAGAATTCAGAAGACCCGGGAGAGAGAGGAGGCGAGCTTCAGAAACTGATCCTAGGGGCGTTGGGAGGGGGAATGGAGAGGGATCGAATGGGTTGGGTCCTAGACTCTCAGGAGTCTTGGGGAAGGGGTGGAGGCGGGACTATCCCAGCCGCGCGATTCCGACACCCGCGCGGCCGCGCTGAGTCTTGGTCCGGTCGGCCCGCTCTCCCTTTTCTGCTGGTCGCAGATGCTGAAGCCGCTTGTGGAGAAGCGGCGCCGAGATCGCATCAACCGCAGCCTGGAAGAGCTGAGGCTGCTGCTGCTGGAGCGCACCCGGGACCAGGTCAGTCTTTCTGGACCCCCAAGCATCCCGTTCTTGCGTCCCAGGGCTTCCCACTTGGGTGGGGACATAAACTGGCTGCACTGGCGACCCTGGCCCCAACGCATCCTGACCTGAGTCCCGCCCTTGGAATCCCATCCCAGACCCCCTCTTGCTCTCAGAACGCGATCTTCATGGCCACCCCTCGGGTCTGTAAGTTTCACACCCGGTTCTATAAATTTCACTTCCAGGGTGGGTGCCTTTCAACCTCTGGGTCTGTAAATTCTTCCTCTTCCTTCCCCTACTCCTAAACAGCCAGCAGGGGAGTTAATTTCAGTCATTGGGTTTGCTACTTCAAATGCCCTCCTCATAATGCGGGATCGGTTTCATTCCCTCGGGTTGGACAGTTTCGACTTAGGGTGGGTGAGGACCATTCTTGGTCATCTCCATTCCGCATTTGGTAGCACGCTCTGTGGTCAGCGCGCAAATGCGGTCCGGGGGCACCCCCAGCTCCCGCATCCCTCCTTCCTTTCTTCCCCCTGCCACTTTCCCCCTCTCTCCCCACCCCTCTGTCTTTGCTCCCTCCCCTCCTGTCTGTAGAACCTCCGGAACCCGAAACTGGAGAAAGCAGAGATACTGGAGTTCGCCGTGGGCTACTTGAGGGAGCGAAGCCGGGTGGAGCCCCCGGGTACAGCGCGGGGGTGGGGCAGCGGAGGGAGGGAGAGGGGATTCACTGAGGTCCGGGCCGGGGTAGATGGGGCGGAATTTGCCGTGGATGGTGGGCTTGGGGAGTGGCAGAGTCTGCTCTGAGGCGAGGTTAATAACACCCGCGCGTGTCTGTCTCTGTGTCTCCCTCATTTTCTCTCTCTCTGTCCGTCCATCTGGTTTCCTGTCTCTGTGCGCCTGTCGGGACTTGGTACCTCTGCGCCCCGCCCCTTCCCTTACCCCTGCTGGGCCCCTGCCTTGACTGCCCGTCCTCTCATCGGCCGCACCCACCGCCGCGGCTCCAGGGGTCTCCCGGTCCCCAGCCCAGGACGCCGAGGCGCTCGCCAGCTGCTACTTGTCCGGATTCCGCGAGTGCCTGCTTCGCCTGGCGGCCTTCGCGCACGACGCCAGCCCAGCAGCCCGTGCCCAGCTCTTCTCTGCTCTGCACATCTACCTGCGCCCCAAGCCGCCCCGGCAGGAACCCGTAGATCCGAGGCCCCAAGCCGCGCGCCCACCGCTGGACCCCGCCGCCCCGGCGCCTGGCCCCGCGCCGCACCAGCGCCCCCCAGTGCACCAGGGCTGCTCTAGCCCTCGCTGTGCCTGGTCCCCGTCCCCTTGCTCCCCCCGCGCCGGGGATTCCGGCGAGCCGGCGCCCCTCACCGGACTGCTCCCGCCTCCTCCGCCGCCTCACAGACAAGATGGGGCGCCCAAGGCCCCGCCGCCCCCGCCGCCCTCTTTCTGGAGACCTTGGCCCTAAATTTTGGGGGGTGGGGGTGAGGCTGGGGGTAGGGTAGAGACTCCCGCCTAAGGGCAGCAGAGGGACCCGGGCGTCGGGGTGAGGAGGTGTTGGGGAGGGCGGCGGGGCGTGCGGGCGTAGCGCGCGGGTGAGATGTGGTCTATATTAGAGTATCTATATAAATATATATTTCCCTGGTTCCTGTCCCCTTCCCCAACCCCGTCTCCCCCGTGTCTAGGATTGTACCTTTTTTGCCCCTAGCCCACCCCTAGTCCCTTCTCGAGTCCCTAGTGCATGGAATAAAGTGGTTATTAAACCCCCGTGTGTCCCAGAACCAGGGGCCTGCCTTTATCTCGGCGTCCACGCCCACTTTCCCTTCCCTTTTGTCTCCCATCCCTCCCTTCCCCCACCCCAGTCTTGCTCTTCACGGCCCAAGCCCCGGGGCACACAGGTAAGTAAAGAAGAGAGCAGAGTGAAGGCTGAGGTTGGAGCTGAAAACGTGGAAACACATAGATAGGGTAGGGGGAGAAGGGATGGGGGAACCTTTAAGAAAAAAATCGGATATATAAAAGGAAAACTTTGAATAAAATCGACTCTGGTGGGATTCGAACCCACAACCTTTGAATCGCTCATTTCATCACTAGAAGTCCAATGCGCTATCCATTGCGCCACAGAGCCCACTGCCAAGCCTCCACCTCTGATGGCTTACGGGTAATAGTGTGGGGGAGGGGGAGGGTGGCCTAGAGCGCGCGGTTTGGACTTCCGAGGCCTGCCTGGGAGAGGTAGCGGGCGAAAAGCAGGTGAGCCAGGTGGGAGTGCGGGCGCACATGGGTGGAAGAAAAGAGAGTAACCAAATATGAGCGAGGGAGCGAGTACAGAGCTCTGGCTGCCTGCTTGGGGGATTGCTTCCAGCCCAGGTGCACCCCCACTCCCAGATGTGGCCCCACCCATCCAAATAAACTCGTTTCGTTGTGAATTTCTGTGTTCTGTTTTCTTTGGTTTATCTGCTTTGCCATCCGCAGCTTCGCAGTTCTGAATCTAAATTATTTCCAAAGAAAAACGACTAATTAAATACAACTGTCTCTAGCTTACATTTCTACAGTCTCTTAGGAGGACTATGGAGAATCGTTTACTTCACATAGGTAGCGTGGCCGAGCGGTCTAAGGCGCTGGATTTAGGCTCCAGTCTCTTCGGAGGCGTGGGTTCGAATCCCACCGCTGCCAAGTCAGAGTTTTTCTCGTGGGTTATGTTCCGTGTAAGACCATGCAAGACCCTGTGGGATCTGCTTCAATTTTATGAGGACTCCTGGTAAAAGTCTCACCACTGTCTTCCCTCTCTGGTACTCCAGACATAATTTTACCGAGGTCTGCATCCCAGCCCTAAACCATAACGGTGATGGAAACTGCTAAAGCAACCCTCATTACTTCATGTCCTCAAATAACATTCTGAAATCTCAGAACAAGTGCAACACTTGTTCATACACAAATTGAATTGATTTGTTGTATGTTCTCCTCACGGTGTGCTAGAGGATCCAACTACCCACTCCGGAAAGCTCATTGGGTTGCAGTTTTCTTTTTAGATCATCTCAGATCATAAAAGCATGTGATATACAAAACTAACAATGGGACACATAGGTAGTTAGTGAAAACAAAGCGTAAGGTTCCACCGAGATTTGAACTCGGATCGCTGGATTCAGAGTCCAGAGTGCTAACCATTACACCATGGAACCTACTTGTCCTGCGACCTTTTCTGAATACTTATATATTAGCCAACTTCCTGTTGTACTTCTATGCGCTGCCTTTTACAGAAGACAAAACAACATAAAAACAGCTGTCGGGTAAGGTAGAAGCCGCTATCAAACACTGAAACACGAATTGAGATGTATTGTAAGTATAAAATAGAAAGTGTACTTAGAAAACAACATAAAAATGGTTATAATTTTATGAATATAAAAATGTTGATTATGTGTTAAAATGCTCAGATTTTGGATATTTTGGATTAAATAAAATGTTATTAAAATTAATTTCGACTGTTTATTTCCACTCTTTTTTAAATAACAGATTTTATTTCTTAGAGCAGTTTTAGGTTTCCAGAAAAATTGAAGAGAAAGTACAGAGAACTCCCACGTACTCCTGCTACCTCCACAGTTTTTTCTTCTTCTTTTATTATTATTTCATTTTTAGCCTTATTGAGGTATAACTGACATACAAAAAACTTCACACATTTAGTTTTTATACATCTTGGTGAAACTTCTTTTTTAAATACAGTTACTAGAAAATGTAAATTTAGCATATATGACCCATATGTAATACTCTAAAATACCTCTATTTTCCTTCCCGTTATTCGTTCTACCTTCTAAAAACTAAAACCCTGACTCACTTAATATCACTTTTTTTAACAGACAATAAAAACTCTTTGTTTAACATTCAAATATCATTCCCATGGGCCATGTGGTCCACCCAGACATCCAAGACCCTGACACAAATCCAGAGCAGCCTCGAAGCCTCGCGCTGTGACTCCAGTAGGGTGAGGCCCTCGTTCACGGAGCCTTTCACGCTGCGGATGATCGAGCGACTCATGATGTCCATGAATTTCACACATATGGGCTTGCACTGTCCCTGGGGGGCCGGTTGACCCTGGCTAGCTTGATTGGTTGCACACGACTCGTATCCATGATGGCTGCGGTCCGGCCATCACATCCTTTTAAAATTAAGTATTAGTATTTTCGCTGTTCTTTCCCTTTGTTTTGTTCGAAGGAACGCAAATACTCAATTGTACTAAAAAAAAAATGAACGGTGCTGTTTTGATAGAAAAGGTATCGGACGCCCGAACAGGGACTTGAACCCTGGACCCTCAGATTAAAAGTCTGATGCTCTACCGACTGAGCTATCCGGGCTCCCTTAGCTTTGCACTCGCTCTTCTATCTTTAATAGTATTTTACTTGAAAAAGTTCGTGCTCGCAAAACTGAAGGGTAATTATATATGTATTCAGATAGTTTGGGCACAGACCCTAAGAAAGCTAGGGCAGCCGGCGATTGCTGATTGCACTTCTTACCAAGCCTCTCGAGTACAGTTCCTGCGGAGTTGGTTTGCTAAGGCTGCAGCGATGCGAAGGCTGGGATGGTGCGGTGCCAAGATTGGCCGCGTGGGGTCGCTGCCGGCTGCCGGCTTCCCTCGCAGGGTGGTTTCTCCTTAATTTGGAAGACCTAAGTTCTAGGCACCCCGGCACCCCCGCTCCAGCCCAGAAGGTTCAAGGGTGGGCCCGGAGCAGAAGAATGCCACATGGGGCTTTCAGATGCTGTGCACCCGGAGTGCACTTCGATACTCCGACGAGCCCCATTCCAAGGGAGAGATTGATATCTGGCGTGCCAAAGACACGGGACTCAGACAGCTGGGCGTGGGATGGTGGTGCGAAGTGCGTGGGGTGACAGAAGAGTTGTTTCTGACCCCCATGGGGTGTGCAGGAATGCGTGAAACTCACCTGCGTGTGGCTGTAGTCACGTGTGGTTTATGGCGGTGTGTCTCACTTGTGTATACTGATTCACATGGATGATTCACAAGTAAGAATGTGGGTGCTCTGTTCCCCTTTGTGGTTGAGAGAGAAGAGGAAAGGGTCTTGTGGGGCAATTTGGGCGTGGAGGGACGGACAAGGGCCCCAGAGCATCTGTAGGGCTCCTGACCAGGAGGAGGACAATGTTTCGATCAATCATAAGGACGTCGCTTACTCCCTGTCTCTTTTTCAGCATTTGGCCCCTCCCTTCCCAATGGGGCTCAAGCTCTTGATACCCATCTGGGTGAGCCGCCCTGTTCTGTCAGCCAGAGGGACCGGCTGTGTCAGAGAGAAGCAAACAACTATTAGGGTGCAAGTGTGGGCGGAGAGAGGGAGCCCACAGTGAGCAAGGGCAGAGGCCAGGAGTTTCTGGAGAGAGAGCATCTCAGAGAGAGCTGAGCCTTTTCTCAGAGGCCTAGCCTGCCCCCCCCCCACCCCTACCTCAGAGCTCCTCTCTATCGGCTCAGCATCCCAGCAATCCAATTCTGCCCTGCCTGCTGCTCACGTTCAGGCCAGCTGCTGCTGGGGCTAACCTGGGGGCATTCCTCCTTCCCTCTCATTATGGCCGTGTACCGCGTGCGAGTGACCACTGGTGCTTACCTGGGGGCAGGCACACTGGACAACATCTCTGTCACTCTGGTGGGCATGCGTGGTGAGAGCCCCAAGCAGCTACTGGATCGCATGGGCAGGGACTTTGCCCCTGGATCGGTGAGTACCGATGAGAGAGGGAGGAGTGGGGCAGGGTAGCTGGGTGACCCTGAAGGAGGGGAGGGTCTTCCCTCAGAGCTCATCAAATCCTGCAGAACTCAGAATGCCGGTCCTGACTTCCTCACCATTCCTGGTTCTGTCTGGTTCTTGTCTTTCTTGGGGATAATAAATCCCACCCAGACAGGACTGTGAAGGAGCCCTGGGCAAGGGGGTCAGAAGAATTCCCCTGGCTTCCTAGCTCCTCCTCTCATAACTGAAGATGGGCTCTGGGCAAGTTGCTTGAACTCCCATAGTCTGGGTTTCATCTTCTCTGGAGGAATCTGCCTGTCTCTGCCAGGCCCAAGGATTGTTTGTTGATGGGTCCTGGGGAGAAGTCGGCCTCCAAGGGGGCTAGTGAAATCCAGAACCCACCCTTGCCTGTGGTAGCTGTGGTTGCTTCTGCCTTGTGAAGGGATGCTCTTTTCAAATTCATACAAAAGCATCACATGGGTCAGCAGCAGCTCAGGTTTCTATGCCAGAATAGGTTTAGGTATAGCTGCACCTTGCAAGGTGCAAGGACAGCTCTGGCGGTTCCTTGCCTCTCACCTACTCCCTCTCTTGGTCCCCTCAGGTACAGAAGTACAAGGTGCGCTGCTCAGCAGAGCTGGGTGAGCTCTTGCTGCTGCGTCTACACAAGGAGCGCTATGCTTTCTTCCCCAAGGACTCCTGGTACTGTAGCCACATCTGTGTCACTGCCCCAGATGGTACCCTTTTCCACTTTCCCTGCTATCAGTGGATTGAGGGCTACTGCACTATAGAGCTGCGACCAGGAACAGGTGAGCCAAAGGCAGGGGCTGGCCTGTGCTGCAGAAGGCATCTGTTGGGATTAGGGGCAGGGTCTCCCAGAGCTCAGGGTGTAGGAAACAGGGTTGGGGTTAGTGTAACAAGTTCAGGACTCCCAAGTAGATGTTTCCTGGGGGAAGAAAGTGAACCTCTAAAGTCCTGAAAGGTAGAGGCCTTCTAGACAGTATTCACCCCTCTGGAGACACACATAGACTAGACACATGCTCACGTCCACTCACACCACCCAGCACAGACACAAACACACACAGATGGCAGTTTGCTTTCTGCTGACTGCCTCTGCATGTCCCCAAAAGGGGACAGGTGAAGAAGCCCTGAATGTTAAGAGAATTTAGCTGAAAAGGCTCTGTCCACTACTACTGGCTTTTCCAGTGTGGATGAAGTCCCTGTGAGGTGCTATTAGTATTCCTTCTTGAATTTAGGTGGCCTTTCAAGAATGCTGGGCTCTGGCTCCTTCGGCCTCTGGGCCCCCATGTCTCCTGAGTTGTCTGATCTGGAAAGGCAAGACTAGGGTTAGTCTATGGTTTGAGATGAGTCTTAGGGATGAGAGATGCTGTTCTAGATCAAGGCAAAGTGAGTGAACATTACCCCTTGGCCCATAGTGAGTTCTTCATAGATCTCACTCAGAACCCCCATCTGTCATCATAACCCATTCATCACTTCACAAAATATACTCACGTATGTTCCCCTCATGTACTGTGAGCATGCTGTGTACACTGTGCTAGGCACCATGCTACATGCTGAGAATACAGAAAGTGAATATAATGTGACTTCTACCCAGAAAGAGTTAGTTTTAGGAAGAAGACAAACATGCAAACAATATAGAAGATTGTTATAATTCAGGGGTGGGCCTGCCTGAATCCCTTTTACTGATGAAGATACGAAGAACATGGGATATCCATGCCACTGAGGGATTGGGTACAAGGGTTAAGGGGTTCAGGTAAGCTTTGCTGGAGAAGCTATTGTTTGAAAAAGAGACTTGAGAGATGAGTAATTTTCATTTCCCACAGCGAGAACTATTTGTCAAGACTCCCTTCCAATCCTTCTGGACCACAGGAAACGGGAGCTCCAGGCCCGACAGGAATGCTACCGGTGAGGGTGACCTAATTTGACTTCTTTCCCCATCTTTATTAGGACCTCAGACTTAATCACTTTACTAACTTTTACCTTGGTTCCAATCTTAGGGGCCCAACTCCAATCAGGACCATTATTTAAACCTAACCTCAACCTAATACTGACCTTGAGTCCAGACTCAGAACACTAGTACCAATAATTGCACCAATACCATCGATGAATCTACACTCAGCCCCAGCTACCTTTGATGTGACCCTAGTATTGATGAATCTCAGCCCATCCTCAGACTCACCCCCTCCTCAGTGTCACTCCCGAATTGTCCATGATCTTGATCTCAGCACAAACCTGATGCTAAAGCAGCTGGGACATTCACATCATCCTCAAATTCTACCCTGATCTGAAGCCCGATGTCTCAGGGAGAAAATTCAAATTTTCTGTCACCTACCTAGAAAGTTGGAGTTTTTTGGAAGTTTTAATTTCAAGGCATGTCTTTAAAAGCTAAAGTTTCTATGTACCCTAAGTTTGACCTGCTGCCTCTAACCTCCTACCCCTGGAAGCTGGAAAATCTATGCCCCTGGCTTCCCTGGCATCGTGGACGTCAGCAGCTTTGAGCAGATGGAGTCAGACAAGAAATTTGCTTTGACCAGGACAACGGCTTGTGCAGACCAGGATGACAGGTGAGGGAAGACGGGGCTTTGGGAAGAAGGTGGAGGGGTGTGGAGTGAGGGGTCTGTCGGGAGGCGGGATCCCAGGCAGCCTGGAAAGAGAAGTTGGGAACTATGATAAGTGCAATTTAATCCAAGTGTCAGGAGTGGAACAGGCCGGGAGGGCCCAGGGGTCTGGCAGAGAGGAGGAGGTGATTCCAGGCCTGATGGGAGAGGGCAGAGGAAAAGCCCAGAGTGAGGGAAGGCCAAGGAAGTCTGGGGGAGGAGAAAGGGAAGGAATTAAGGAAATGAGCCACAGATCTTTCTAACTGTTCCCTGCTCTTCTGCCCCACTACCCTCCCACCCCCCTCTCCCAGCAGTGGGAATCGGTACCTGCCTTTCTTCCCCATGAAAGTTGACATCCCATCTTTGCTGCACATGGAGCCCAACATCAGATACTCGGCCACCAAGACAACCTCTCTGATCTTCAACGCCATCCCTCCGTGAGGCAACTGCCTGCTCTGTGCTCCTGCTCACTCTCCCATCTGCCTCTGCCTCTTTGATGCACAAACACATCTCTACTTCCCTTTCCCTTCTTTCTGCCTCCAGTCTTCCCTATCTTTGTCCCATAGTGTCCCCTCTCTTTCCCCTCTGTGGCCCCCAGTCTTCTCTCTCTCTCTCCTTAGACTCCTCCATTCTTTATCTTCCCATTGTCTCCTCTCTGCTCCTTATTCATCCATTCTTTTTTCATTCCTCAAGCCAATACAATTGATTGTGCACAGCGTGGTCCCAGGCACTGCTGGGACCATGTTGGGTAGAACAGAGATGCCTGGCTCTTAGTCTTTAAGGAGGTGGCCAAACCACCTCAGTTTCAATTCCCAGAGCCAATGCTTTCTAGCTGTGTGAACTTGATTTTCACTTGGCTTCTAAATAGTTTCCTCATTTATAAAATGACAATAATATACATACCTACTCCATAGGTTTGGGAGAAAATGTAATGAAGTAACACCCAGCACAAAATAATCTCTCAATAGATGCTAGTAGTATTCTGATATAATCTTGGCTGGGAAGAACTCAGTATCACTAGGGAGACATGCTACACAGTGAATTAGCCATCGGAAGGGTCATCAGCAGCTCAAGGCAACAGCTGAAGTTCTAAGTGTGACACGGCTGGAGGGGGTACTGTCCATACTCTGGCATCTAGAGGAGGCAGGGGTCTGGGAGTGGGGGGGGGGGTAGGTGGCATTTGGGGTGGTAGGTGGGACTGAAGCAGGCTTTGCACCAGGGGGAGAAGGATAGGTGAGGAGAGAGTGGGTGGGTCCTGGGCAAACCCATTGACCTTGTCAGTTCCCTCCAGACCTCTAGGCTGGGGACACAGTGCTCCTGGAAGCCCCAGAACCCACCTTCACTTTCGCTCCCCGGCAGGTCCTTGGGTATGAAGCTTCGAGGGCTGCTGGACAGAAAGGGCTCCTGGAAGAAGCTGGATGACATCCGGAATGTATTCTGGTGCCACAAGACATTCACTTCAGGTGTGAAGAGCCAAGCAGGAGATGTACATTTGCTAGCCTGTCCCATGCTCAGACCCCTCTGCCTGTCCTGGGAAAGCACCCTCCCCCAGTACCCTCAGACAGCCTGCTGGATTCTGGTGGGAGGGGCTCCTGGTTTCGCTGGTGGCAATCTCACAGGCCCCCCTCAGGAACCCACACATCTACCCTTCCTCTGGGATGGGACAAGAATAGGAGAGTAAGGACAAGAAATACTCTACTTGCCTGGGAAAGGGTTAAAAGTCATTTAGGGAGCCCTGATCCTGCTCGGGAGCACTCACTTCTGTTCCTCTGCCCCCACCACCAAGCCTTCTGGGCTTTGGGGCCAGACTTAAGTTCAAAGCCCTGTTATGCCACTCAACTAAACAACTCACTCCGCCTCTTTGGCTCTCAGTGTCCAGTGTTAAATGAAGATGTAATTCACTTACTTTGTAGGGTTGCTGTGAAATCCTAAACCAAAGTGATGAGCAAGGAGCTGGGCAGGAGCAAGATCTGGGGAAGTAGTTTCCAGACCAACAAGTCCCTCCCCATCTCCCCCTCTAGAGTATGTCACAGAGCACTGGTGTGAGGACCACTTCTTTGGGTACCAGTACCTGAATGGCGTCAATCCTGTTATGCTCCATTGCCTCTCCAGTTTGCCCAGCAAGCTGCCTGTTACCAATGACATGGTAGCCCCCTCGTTGGGGCCTGGCACCTGTCTGCAGACAGAGCTAGAGGTGGGTGAGTTGCCATTATGGAAAAAGGATGGTGTGAAAGATAGGGTGGGATGGCCAGGGCTGCATCCAGCCTGCAGGCCTCATCCTCTGGGTAGCCCTGGCCCTGCACCTTTTAAGTAGAGTAGTTGTGGATAAGGGCCCGATGGGGCTGGGGCTGGCCTGAGGCCTGACATGGGGTCTGGCGCAGTGATGTGAGTGTTCAAGACTCATTGAAGGGGTGTGGATGAACAGGACAGGGGTGTGGATGAATAGAGGGCTCTCCCTCTATTCTGGGCCTCCAAGGTCCTGAGTGCTGATGCCCAAAGAAGGCTGTTTCAGGACAGACCAAAGACAGTGCCGCTAGATACAGCAGGTACAATCATGGAGAACTAGGAGTTTTGAGGGTGTGGGAGAAGATGATGATCCAGTTTCTCTGAAGCAGTCAAGTCCTCCGGTATCCTCTAGAAGGCTGGAGATATGTTTGGTGATTTTGTTTTTCTTGGATACACTGAGGTCATCTACGTTGAGAGTAGGAAGGACCAGGTATGGGCAGAAGGGGAGAGGATGAAGGCTTGTCCAAGCTGGGAAGCCAGGTGAGAGGTCGCACAACAAGGTATTCGGCTGGACCTCATTCCGAACATTCTGGGAAGGGTCGGGTACCCAACGTTGACCATGAGTGCAGATACCGAGCATTACCGAGGCCAGAGCTGAGGTGGAAACGCCCAGAGAACAGGGAGAAAAGCGGAGCGCGGGAGGGAAGGGCACTCGGAGGCTCTGTGCTCCTTCCGCAGAGAGGGAACATCTTCCTAGCCGACTACTGGATCCTAGCGGACGTTCCTGTCCAGTGCCTAAACGGCCGCCAGCAGTACTTGGCTGCCCCTCTCTGCCTGCTGTGGCTCAACCCACAGGGGGCGCTAATGCCTCTGGCCATCCAGGTGAGCCTGGGGCAGGGTTTTAGGGGGTGGGGCTCTAAGGTGCACCCTGGCAGTCTTGAATCTCACTCCCTTATTGTTCTTGGACGCAGCTCAGCCAGACCCCAGGGCCCGACAGCCCCATCTTTCTGCCCACTGACTCGGACTGGGACTGGCTGCTGGCCAAGACGTGGGTGCGCAACTCCGACTTCCTTGTGCACGAGAACAACACGCACTTCCTGTGCACACATTTGTTGTGCGAGGCCTTCGCCATGGCCACGCTGCGTCAGCTGCCACTTTGTCATCCTATCTACAAGGTCGGTGAGACCCCCTGGCGGGTCGAGAGGCGGCGGGGCCAGGGCGGGGCCCTGACCTTAGGTTCCTGTGACCTCATTCCACTCGCAGCTCCTGCTTCCGCATACTCGGTACACGCTGCAGGTGAACACCATCGCCCGTGCCACGCTGCTCAACCCTGAGGGCCTGATAGACAAGGTGCGGCCTCCCCTACCCCCGCCCACCCCGTCTCTGCGGCCCCGCTCCGATGCGTACTTTCCTCCACCTACAATCCAGTTTGGCCTCCAATCTCATCCCACAGTTCCCGCCAGCCATCCCCTTTTCCCAAGACCCGCCCCTGCCCCCTGTCTCCTACTTGCACCGCCCACAAACCTTGTCTCTGCCCGCCCATCTCACCCACGGGGTCCCACCCCTCAGGCCAAGTTCCAAATGCTCCTTGAGGTGGGTAGGGTATCCCCAGTCTAAGCACACCCTTCCTGACCCTGGGACGAGCCCTGCTCCGCCTCCCTGACTCCCCAGCATCAGTTCATTCATTTAGTTACCAAATACCTAGGGATTACCTCCTATGCACATAGTAGGGTCACAACCTTGGTAGCCCATGTCAAGTCCCAATGGGTGATTTTGGTCTGTGATCTTGCACTGCTTAACGGAAAAATCCCCTCTGCTAAATCAATAGCCCCATCTGGTCCCCAGGCACCAGGGTGGAGGTTGGGAAGGCCCAGGAGCTGAGCTGTGATGTATCCTCAGGTCACCTCCATCGGGAGGCAAGGCCTCCTCTACCTCATGAGCGCTGGCCTGGCCCACTTCACCTACACCAATTTCTGCCTTCCGGACAGCCTGCGGGCCCGCGGTGTTTTGGCTATCCCCAACTACCATTACCGAGATGATGGTCTGAAGATCTGGGCCGCCATTGAGAGGTGTGGTCCTGGGACCCTGAAGCCAGTCTGGCCTGGCAAGGCCCTCCTGTTTCAGGGGCAGTGTGGACCTCTGTGTTGATGTAGGCTGGGGCGCTTGGTGGTGGGGTTTCCAGGTGTTCTCAGCATGGGGTACTCCCAAGGGTGAGCATTAGGGTTGGGGTCCCCTGTGAAATGGCAGATAGCTTTGGGCTGGAGAGAGGTTGGGCTGTGTGTGAACACAGTGGAGGAAGGGAAGGACAGAGTGTCCAGAGAAGGTAAAACAGCTAGGTGTAGCCTGGGGCCTCCGGGCAGGCAGGTCTTCCTTTCTCTTGAGTGCCAAGCAGGGAGGGTGGGCTGCATGAGTCTGGCTCTCCTCTGTGTACCCTGCTCCAGCCCCTTTGCAGGAAGGAGGCCCAGAGCACCCATGACTCAGGAGTCATGGAAACTTGAAGGAAGCCTGGGCACTCAGGTTCCAGCTGCATCTGGGCATCTTCCATGGCTGTCAGTGGACTCTGACCAGCTGCTATCCCCAGCCTGAGCATCACTGGACCGTAGTTTTCTGGCCAGGCCTGAGCCCAAGGTCACTGTGATAGCATGGGCATCTCTTTCCTGCAGCTTTGTCTCAGAAATCGTGGGCTACTATTATCCCAGTGATGCGTCGGTGCAGCAGGATTCGGAGCTGCAGGCCTGGGTCAGCGAGATTTTTGCTCAGGCATTCCTGAGCCGGAAAAGCTCAGGTATCTCTTCTCCACCCCTTAACCACAAGCTCCCAATGATGCAGTGCTCCCCCCGGCCTCACCATTAATCAGTTCCTGTTTATTGATCAGAGTTTGAAGTACATCCTAGTATTAGCCACACTGAATAGACGAGGAATAGGCACAGAGAAGGTTATACAGTAAGTGGTAGAGGCAGGATCCAGGGCCCGATCCCATGATCTGCAAAGCCCTTGCTTTCAACCACTACCCTGTGCCCCTCTGGTCTCTTCTAGACCTTTACATGAGCCTGAGCTCATGATCCATTCACTTCCGTTTGCTGAGTTGTATGGATGTGCCGTATCATGTGATAGGAGCCATCTTTGGCCTCAAATAAGAATATTTCTCAGGGCACGCTGCAGTCTCCGCATTGCATCATCTTGGGAGGCACATAATGTCAGGTTGTCCCATTCTTAGTGATGCCTCGAGTGATTTCTGAGTAAAGGTGGTGACAGCCAGATTGCTTTTGGATCTTTTAAAGGGTGACCCCTCCCTGAGCTTTGCAGCCTGCTGTTAATCACGGGCATCTGTGATTTCAATTGCTCCTCTTCTCGAAGGCATTTCTCTTTGGGGTGGTCTATTTCTTATTTAAGACCCAGAAGGGGGTATAATTACTGTTGGCTCACTCTCCTATCTTACTTAATTACGCTTGTCTCTAATTTAATACACCGGAACATTCTTCAGATTGACAAACATGTCTCCTGACCAGTACAAACTTATCCTAGATTCATCTGTTTTAAGGTAAAACACTCATTCATTAACCTCAGGCATTATGCCTTTTGCTCCATATTTCAAAGGGGAAAAATACTAATATGAGTTACAGAAAAATTCCCATAGACGATCTGACTGCTTTCCTTTTTTATTTTCAGCCCTCAAGGTTAGAATATCAGCCAGGAATAGAACATTTGGAAACTTCCCACACACTCCCAGGCAGATACCCAGTCCTTCCTCGAAACCTCTCTATCTGCCCTGTTGCATCAGTGTCCCTCCAGTCATCCTGACTGAACCTTGGAGCCGTCTTTGACTCATGTTCCCTCTGCCTTCCTCTTCCCCTAAACCCCGGTGGGCGGCAAACCCTATTGTCCTGGTAATTTCCCGCTGTCGTCATCCTAATCCCAGTCCTCACGCTATTCCTGCATTGTGGCAGCTGCTTCTCAACCTTTAGATGCTTGCCTGCCAAGCCAGTGCGGTGCCACCCTGGCGATCCTCTGAAATAGTGCCCAGAGACCTGGCCTGGCACACTGCTGCAGCCTCGCTCCCAGTGAGCACCCTCCCTGACCCTCCACCTGGCTTATGCCCCATTTCTTCCCACTCTGGCTTCTTACCCTCTCATGAATTCACTCCATTCAACTGGTCATCACTTGGCTCTTTTAATATGTAGTAAGTGTTGCTCTAGGTGCTGGGGCTCGGCAGTGAATATGACAGACAAAAATCCCAGCCTTCATGGAGCTTGATATTCTTGAGAGGAGACACAGATAACAAACAAATATGTTAGGTGGTTATGAATGCCAAGAAGATCGAAACAGCATCAGAAATCACTGGTGTGTTGAGGTGGGGGGATAATTTCAGATATGTGGTCAGGGAAGGCCTCCCTGAAAGGGTGATGTTTGAGTAGAGATGTGAAAGAAATGAAAGAGCTATTTCTGTGAATGGCTGGGCTTAACGGGTGCAGTCAGAGGGGGGAGTGGAAGGCCTTGAGGCGGGAGTGTGCTGGCAGGTTAGAAGAATAGGAGGAAGGCCTGTGTGGCTGGAACAGAGTGAGAGAGAGAAAAGTTGGGAAGGAGATGAAGTCAGAGAATAAGCCAGAGCCAGGTCAAGTAGGACCATGGTGAGGTAGGAGGGATGGGAAGCCCGTAGAGGGTTCTAGAAAGTAGTGACAGAATTGAATTTATGATTCTAAAGGACCACTTCCTTGAGCTGTCGGAGTAATGGTGGAAGCAGTCAGATTCACCCGGGAGTGAGATGCTAGGTACCGGGTAGTGGTAGAAGCAGATGATGAGACAAAATTGGCTTCTGGAAGTGTTTGCTGGTATGTGGGGTATGAGATAAGGGCAGTGAGCGCACAGGATAAAAACTATCAAAATGGGACGGCTGTGGGAGGGACAGGTTTGGGGAGTGTGGGGAGTAGGCAGTCGGGCATTAGGCTTTGCAGACGTTAAGTCTGAGATGGCCTGCAGACACTCAGCTGGAGCTGACGGGCAGCTGCAGATGTAAGCCCACTGAGCCTAGACTTCAGGGGGTAGGGGGAGACAGCCAGAGTTGTGCGCTTAGGAGTTGTCAGCCCATGGGAGGAGGTTGAACTATAGATTTGGAGGAGACCAAGTACAGAGAGAAGAGGGCCAAGGGCTGAAGTGCTTCCTCTGTCATCTTTTTTTCCATTCAAAGCTTACCCACTCTTCCTCAGGAAGCCTCCTTCTCTTCCCCACCAGCACAGCCTCAGTGCCTTGCCTGCCTGCCCTCTCTTCAGGGAGCCAACCCTGGCCTGAGGGCCTCCTTCTGCTTCTACCACTGTGAGCTTATGAGTAGCACATTCTGGTCATCTGTGCCTGCAACTAAGCCCAGTAGCAGATGACCTGCTTGCTTGGACAACGGTGAATTAGGTAGACTTAAATCATTAAGTGCTAACATGGGCTGTGGACAGGAGTGCCATGGTGGCTGGCAGGGACCTGGCTGCACAGCTGTGAGCTCTGCCAGCTGGGCATTTTCTGGTCTGACCCCAGCACCCAGCTCCTTTCCTGACCTTCTTCAGAGACCACCCACCATGGTGACCACCCCTAACAGCCCAACCCTAATCTTAGTCTAAAGACAGTGGTGGCCAAATGTTCAGCCCTCATCTCCTCACTCTCCCTCTGTGCTGAGCCCCAGCCCTGAGCTGTCCCTAGGAATCTAGTCCCCTCCACACCCTCTTCCCTTCCTTCCACACCCAGGCTTCCCATGCCGTCTGTGCACCCCAAAAGAGCTGGTGAAGTTCCTCACAGCAATCATCTTCAACTGTTCCGCCCAACACGCTGCTGTCAACAGTGGGCAGGTGAGGCTGCAGGGGGCAGGCCAGAGGGGTACTGGGCCGGGAAAGGTTAGGTTCAGCAATGCACAGGAGGCCGGGAGTCTGGGCTGAGAGCATGGGTGGGTCAGGTTTGGGTTGGGTTTATCATCAGGGTTGGGGTAGGAGTGGTGACTGTGTGGAGGGAAGGACTGGTGTCAGATGATGACTGGGGTGGAGCTAAGGCCAAAGTTGCAATGGTGGCTTGGGTTGGTGTTGCACAAGGAGTAGAACTTACGGACTCCTGTCATGGTCAGGATGGAGCCAAGTGGAGTATCAGGTTGCTCTGTTTGGCATGCCAGCCCAAGGCCTATTTCTAGAGTTACCTCCTCTCTGGGTCCTCCTCCTTCCTTGGTGATTCATCCCACCCAGTCCTGGAACATTGGGAAGGGAGTGACAGGGGTGATCCAGGTTCCTGCTGCACTTTGGAACTTTCTATTCTCTACCCCTCCTTCTCTTCCCTTCCCACTACCTCCTCATTTCCCAGCTACAAGACCCAGGACAGTAGGGGGCAGGATAAGGGATGATGATAATGGAACTGGTCCTCTCCCTCTGGCCATTGACTCAACTGGTGTGGGGGTCTCCACAGCATGACTTTGGGGCCTGGATGCCTAATGCCCCATCATCCATGAAGCAGCCCCCACCACAGACCAAGGGGATGACCACCCTGGAGAGTTACCTAGAGGCCCTCCCAGAAGTGAACGTCACCTGTAACAATCTTCTTCTCTTCTGGTTGGTCAGCCAAGAGCCCAAGGACCAGGTGTGTGCATGGGGTGGGGTTGGGGGTGGGAGTTTGCAGGGCCTGGGCACTGGAAGTGATGGTGGCCACCCCAGGGGGACTTAGGGGGTGACTGCTGGCATTTATGTTGACTGCTGAACTGCCTTGGGTTCTTCAGTTTCTTCAGGAAATGATAGTTGATTCCCAGAGACATACACTGAAGCAAATACCAGTTAGTGGCTGGGATACAACGTCCATCCAATTCACCAGTTTACCAATCCACCGATCCAACCATCCATCCATCCAACCATCCAACAAACCATTTATTCTTCCATCCATCAACCATTCATCCATTGACCACTTACCCATTCATCTAAACATTCCACACACATTTATTGGATACCTCCCATGTGTCAACACAATGCTGGGCATCAGGCATGTAAAGTTGGGTGAGACCTTCCTGCCTTCAAGAATCCTATTGTCTAGCTGAGGAGATACACAGATAAATGAAAAGGAGTACCATAGTGTTGTAGGTATTATTTAGGTGCTAATTCCTCCATTTGAACAGGTACTTCCTGAGCACCTGCAATGTGCCAGGCACTGATGGGCAGATGTGAACCCTGTCCTCATGAGCTGGCTACAGTCCAGTGGTACATGTAAGGACAGGGACCTGTTGGAACCTGACCAAGTGTGGGTGAACACAGGGAGGCTTCTTGGAAGGAAGTGACATCTAAGCTGGGACCTGTGAGACCAGTAGGTGTTTGAGAGACAAAGGAGGGGCAGTGTGAATTCCTAGGCAGAGGTGAAGGATGAGACCAAATGAAATGAAGTGAAGTGAAGGCAAGAGTCCATTATGTCTCGAGGGTCACAAATAGTACAGTGTGGGCACAGTGTTCATTCAGAGGACAATGGGGAGACGATGAAGAGATTTAAGCCTGGGGTGACATGGCTAAATTTGGGTTTTAGCAAACAGTGCTTCTGTGGCTGTGTCAATGGATGGGAGGGGCGATTTTGGAGGCAGGAACAACAGTGAGGAGGTGCTGCTTAGGCTACTCGGGCTTGGGGGTGGTGAGCAGCCCTTTGGTCACCGATTACCATCATCTCCACGCACACATTCAGTTATCAGTCATGCCTCTGCCCTCCTGGTTTTGTTCACAAGTTGTCTGACATTACAGGAATATCCTCATTTCGCATGTCTGACTCCATTTGGTGCAGATATTTTTATCTCCTTAGCAAGTTCTGACTTATCATCCTATAGCCTGGGGTTGCCAGAAACTCATCCCTGGGTCCTGATCCTTTCTGGTCCCCTCTCTCAAGGATTTCAAGGCATTTATTTCTGTCATTATAAAGGAAAAAAGCTCTTTTTTGGTCTATTCGCAGAATACTTTTTTACTACTCTCAATGCAATACTCTCACTCAATACTTCTGGCTACCAATGCATGGGGGTTGTTCCCACCCGAAACAATTCTCAGACACCGGCTGGGCGCCCTCTAATTTAGCTCAGTGCTGACACTATCTGGAGATAGTGTCAGGTCCCGCAGGTTAAGGGCTCTGTCCCACAAGACTGCCACTGCCCCCCTTCAGACACCAATTGCCAAATGAAAGTCCAGGTTGCCAGCTGTGTTTCTGACCACCCAGCTATAAATCGGGTTTCTACAACCCCCTCCTCAGGTTTGAGTATGTGCTGGAACAGCTCACATAACTCAGGAAAACAGTCTCTAGAGTACAGGTTTATCATGACAAGGTACAACTCAAGCACTGCTACGTGGAAGAAATGCACAAGGTGGGGTGTGAGGGAAGGGGTGCTCTCTCCCCACACACCTCACCTCGTGTGCTCTCTCAGGTATGTCGCCTCTCAGCGCCTCCACCCATGCACCAACCTGGGAGTTCGCCAAACCTGCATTTTAGGGATTTTGATGAAGGCTTTATTACATAGGAGTGATTGATTAAATTATTGGCCATTGGGGATTATTTTAACCCCCAGCCCCTCTCCCCTCCCCAGAGGTTGGGGGGTGGAACTAAAAGTTCCAACTCCCAAATCACAGGGTTGATTCCCAAGGCAAGCAGCTGGGTGAGTGTGCTTTCCAGAAGTCACCTCATTAACATAAACTCAGGCGGTGGTTGAAAGAGGCTTATTTTGAATAACAAAAGACACCTGTAACAGTCTAAGGTGAAATTATAAGGGTTTCAGGAGCTCTGTGCCAGAAGTGGGAGGAAGACCAAATATATATTTCTTATAAATCACAATATCACAGTGGAGAGGGAAGAGTAGGCAAGAGGACGCTGCTGAAGGATTTCCTCCCCATGAGCCAGTGGGAAGTTTAACCTGGGAAATCAGAACCACCACAGTAATGGCGGCTATCCCTTTTTGAGATTCTATCATCTTAGTATTAAATAGGATGCCGTATGTCCACTATTTTAAAATAGAAAATAAATAAGTGGCTATATTTACAGTACTTCATGCAGTGCCTAGCATATTACTACTCAGGAAATAGTAGTTCCATTTTACAGGGGAGAACCCGAGGTTCAGAGACACTAAGCAATTTGTCCAAGGTCACACAGCTAGTAAGTACGCTTGAACCCAGTCTGCCACACTTCTGTGTTCTGCTTTTTAAAAAACTAAACTAGAGTTTTAGAAATTAGATGTCAACTTGGTAAATCAGACATAAAACTGATGCTTTGAAAAGACCAATAAAAGAAAACAGAGACAATTCTAGTAAAGAAAAAAAAGAGAGAACATAAATGTACAGCATTAGGAATGGGAAAGGCATATGGCTACAAATACAGAGAAGACTGAAGAAATTGGAAGGAAATTCTACTTACAGTTTTATGCAAACAAATATGGAAATCTAGATGAAAGAAGTGATTTTCTAGGAAAACATAAACAAACAGAAGAGATGAAAACCATACAGCAATGGGAAAGGCTGTAAAAGATCTGACCGCTGCCGTTACAAAAGGAGGTTCTAACAAATCATCAAGGAACAAGTCATTCCTAAATTATTCAAACTGCTTGAAAGTATAGACAAAGGTGAAAGTTTCCCAAATCATTGTACTGGATTCTGCTTTACTGGGGACCCTGATATCCCCACCTGACAAAGGTGGGGCCCTTCAGGAGAGAGGTGGGTCTTAGGCAGATCGGTCCTGTCCCAGATTGCACTTCCCATCTGTGTGACCTTAGGGATGGAATGGGGCATCTCCAAGCCTTAGTTTCTTTTTTTCCTTTTTATTGAATTTATTGGGGTGACCCTGGTTAACAAAATTATATAGGTTTTGGGTGCTCAATTCCACAATGCATCATCTGTACACTGTACTGTGTGCTCACCATCCCAAGTCAAGTCCCCATCCATCACCATTTATTCCCCCAGGCCCCCTCCACCGCCCCCACCCCAGGCCTCAGTGTCCTTATCTGTAAAGTGAGAATGACAAGAGCGCCTGCCTTACAGGATTGTTGTGCCATTGTGATAGTCCCCATGAAGTGCTTGCAACACGCTAGCTGTGATTAAGAAAATAAAATTATAAACTTGTTCCACTTAGCTACGACAATCTTAAAAATATACCATCAGCCAACGAAGGCCAATAGTACATAGTAGAACAATAATACACCGTGACGAAGTCTAGTTTATTCTAGGAATGAAAGGAATGAAAGGTTGGTTCAACCTTATGAAATCTAACAATATAATTTATTACATCAGTAAAGAAACACACCATATAATCATCTCAATATAGGTCAAAAAAGCATTTGGTAACAGTGTACAGCCATTACTAATAAAAACTCAGTGTAAAATGAAACCCCCTTATGGAATTTTGATAAAAAGTATCTTTCAGAAAACAAAACACTGCCCTTATGGTATAACAATAGAGGTCTCCTTATTACAGTCAGGGACAAGAAAACAAAGCCCACTGTTGCTGGTGGTAGTTAGCACTTTTCTAGAAGGCTTTACTAGTGGAATAAAACAAGACAAAGCATTTTAAAACATTAGTATTATTGGCAACAGTTTTATAGTATGAAGGTTTTACTGGGCGGGAAGTGTGTGCTGTTTAGGAGGCCAGCCGCACCAGCTGTGACGGTGAACTGGTTGTGTGGTGTGGTGTGGTCATGGAGAGGGGCAAGCCCTCGCTGCCACCCCGGACTGAAGGTCATCGCAATATTTTTTGATTGTCATTGGCCATGCTGTGCGGTGTGACGGTGTATGGTGGTGGCGACTATGTTGGCAAAAATTTAATGCTATTGAATAAGCTGTCATGATTGGGAAGCTGTCTCCGGCCTGGTGGTCTATAGGGTGAATTTTGTTCAATTGTGAGGTAGTAGGTGATAAATAGGGCGTGTTTGCTGGAGCGTGTTCACTTTGTTTTCCGTTGTGTTATGAATGTGGTTGTGTTCTTTCAGTTCAGAGGACAGGGGACCTGGCACTGGCATGGACCTTCAGAGATTTTCTAGTCCAATCCATCCATTTTCACAGGCAGAAACTGATTCAGGGTAATAGGCAAAGAGTTACCAGCAGAGGGAGCACTAACCTTAGGTTGGCAGGCTCCCAGGCCCCCTTCCTGCCCCAGGCTTTGCGAGCTGTGGGTGTTCGGGCTCCTCTGCGCGAGTTGCGGTCATGTGAGTGGTGATTTGTGGTTGTGGTTTGAAGGGTGTGCGTTTACAGTAGCTGTGCCTAGTTCATGCCCTTAGAAGCAACCTTGACTGTATTTGTTGACAAATGTGGTTCTTCATTACTCTTCATCCTGCCCTGAACATGACCCTTACCCCGCACCTGATTTCCCCCCAGAGGCCCCTGGGCACCTACCCGGATGACCACTTCACCGAGGAGGCCCCACGGCTGAGCATCGCTGCCTTCCAGAACCGCCTGGCTCAGATCTCACGGGACATCCGTGAGCGGAACCAGGGCCTGCCGCTGCCTTATACCTACCTGGACCCTCCCCTCATCGAAAACAGCGTCTCCATTTAATCCCCTCCTCCTGCCACCCTGGAAGACGGACCCAAGCAGGAGTAGGGCCAGATTCTCCTGGTCCTCCAGGCTCTTTTGCCCTCTCTGTTCTCCATCAGCCTGAAACTTCCCTGCAGGTGGGGACGTTTTCCAGCCAAGATGGTTCTAGCATCATATGAAGTGGGCCCTGAGTTGTGAGGGACCAATACAACAGTACTCACCGTGAGAAGCTGCTGGTGAAAGTCAAACGCACAACAGACCCTCCACAAGGAAGGAACCCCATCACCCCTTGCCTTACTTTGGGCAGGCTAGTATTTCCCTCTCGTGTCAAAATCTGCCTCCTCCCATTGGGATCCCCAGCTTGGGACTCTAAACTCTCTTCCCAGTTCTCCCTCCCATCCCCAAACTTTCTCTTATCTTGACTCTTTGTTTCCACTTTCCTCCAACTCTGGGATCAACCAATCCAACTTCCTTCTCTGGAAGAGCCTGGAAACTGGACAAGAAAGGATGTATGCCCTACATCTGCCACATGGACCTCTCTAACCCCAGCATCTTTAAGGGGAGGGTTGGAATTAGAGCCCAGCTTACCTGGACCTCTAGTTGTAGTTCTTTCAGGGCCAGGCTCCCTGGCGTGGGTGTGTACGGAGTCTCTTCCCGTCTCTTGTCCTCCTGCTACCATCCCTCCTCCTTTTTTGTTTGTTTGTTTATTTGTCCTTAAGCCCAGTGACTTCAATAAAAACCAACATATTTGGCTCCCGTTTCATTTTTGGTTTGATACGTGTGTGTATGTAGGTAGGGGGAGGTGCCAGGGGATTGGACAAGGTTGGAGCAACTGTGAGTCCTTGGGTCATCTGCTGGAGACAGGAAACCTCCCAGTTCCACTCAACGCCTAGCCAGGCCCTACATTCCTGCCTTCACCTCCCGGAGTGTGTCATCCATCCATCAGGAAGTGAAGGAGTATCCAGAATGAAGGGGTTGATAGGGAAAAAGTAGGTAATTTGCAAAGCCTGGGAATCCAGCTTCTGGGTGTGGGAGTTGTTAGTGTTGCCACTGAGATCCAGTTCCTCTTGTGGATTCATGGAAGACTCAATCTCTAGCTTTTATAAGGGTGGGTGGGGTCATGGATGAGTTTTGGTTAATGAGCATTTACTGGCATGAAACCTCCAGAGTTCTATTCTCTCTGCCTCTGCTGTTGGAGAAGCACGTGTTGAGATGGCACTTCTGTCAGCTTCTGCCTCTGAGGGACCAGAGTAGAACAGAACCCCTGCTGACCTGAGTTGCACGTGATGCTAAGAGAAAAATAAATTTTTCAGGGGATTGGGTGGTTGGAGGGGTTAAGCCATTGAGATTTCAGGATTGTTTGTTGTTGCGGCATAATCTAGCCCATTATGACTGAAACAGATAGTAATCTGGGGAGCCTGATGTTCTCCCTGCCAGCCTGGGTGCCTTTAAAAATAGAGATCTGTACCTTTCTCCACAGCCACTCAACACCTTCCTGTCTCCTGCTTCCCTAGACCTCAGATCCCACTCCCCTTGCCTACTCTGTTTCTTGAGTCAAATTCTGTGTCTGAGCAAACCTTGCTCATGGCTTCTCTCTGGCCAGAGTCACAGTGCAAGGAGTGGTGGGGTGATGAGGAGGTAAGGGGGTGAGGGGTGGTGTGAGTCTTTGGCTCTACCAAACCAGAGCAGATTTTCACTTTCTGCTCCAGAGATCCTGGGAGAAGATGATCCCCATGTCATTGTGCATGAAGAAGTGTGTTCGGGTTTATCTCACCTGCAGATTCCAACCTAAGAATCCAGTCAGAATCACCAGATTTTGTCCATTTTAGAACAAAATGAGAGAACCAAGAGGCGCCCCTTGTGGCTAGGAGGACCATAGCAGGGGCTGGATATGCCCGCCCTCTAAATTTGGGCTTTGACTTAGAAGAGCAGGACCTGGTAGGCTGGAGGGATATTAGGGCATAGTCAGGCAGTCTGTCCCTCCAAGAGGATGGACATGCCTTGGCCTGCACCAAAGTCAGTATTAGGAGGCATGCCCATTCTAAAAATGTCCCTGAGCCAGAAAGAGAGGAGCCAGGGCAGATCACTTGAATCTAATTTCCCAGAAAGCCAGCTTGGAGGGAGGTTTATTAAGGAGACACACCCAGCTGCAAGCAGGATTCTGCCCAGGCTCTGGGTGCCTCCAGGAACAGGACTTGGGGAAGAGGCTCATGTAAAGCTCGAGGCCTGTGAGATAGGAGGCTTCCTACAGCTTGCACTCTGGACCCTTCTATGCTTTTACGCCAGTCTGGAAGGTGAGTGGTATAATGGGAAGCACACTAGCCCTCTTTTCCCAGCTGGCCTTGAGGAAGCCTTTCAGCCTCAGTGTCCCAAATATGTCAGATAAATGGGAGGGACAAGAAGGCTTGGAAAGTCCTCTGGCATTGACATTCTAGGATCTGCTTGCCTTGTGGCTCCTGTCTCCCCAGACACTGTTTGAAACAGGGGGAAGCAGCTGTACACTCCCCTGGTACCATCCTTACTTCCACTGGTTTACAGGGAAACAGACAACAAATAATCCCATAAATAATCACACAAGCAAATACATTCTTTCAGATGGTTGTAGTGCAGTCAGGAGATAAAACCAGGTGCTGTGTTACCACGACTGGGCACAGCAGGTGGGGAGAAGCATTAGGTCTGGTGGTCAGGGAAGGCCATTCTGAGGAGCAGAAGTTGAGTTGAGATCTGGATGAGAAGACCAAAACCCTTGGGACAGCTTGGGGGAAAGGTGTTACAGAGTGGGAACAGGTCCAGTGCAAGGCCCCTGAAGGGCCTGTGTTTGAGTGATAGGGAGAGGGCCAGAGGGGCTGGGGTAAGGTGACCAAGGGATAGACAGAAGCCAGGTCATGCACAGGTCCTGTGGTACCTGGTAAGGCCTTGGTCTTGACTCTAAGAGCAATGCCGTTTTAAGTTCTGTTGAGTTTTAAGCAGAGGAGTGAACTGATTGAATTTTTCTCTCTGTATCCTGGACATGGGGTGGGAGGCCCAAGGGTTGCTCCCTGACTCTCAGGGCTCAGGGCAAGGCAAAGGCGGGGGGGGTGCCCCAGCAGTGACGACTTGGCTTCCTGTGTGGGTGGCCCCCTGTGAGCCAGCCATGCAAGCTTGCATCCTTCCCAGGGGCCTCCCCTGCTCTCTGGGTCCACCCCTGGTCCAGGAGAACCAGTTCTTCAGCACAGTGAGCATCTACCGAGAGTCATGTGTCCACGTTTTGGTCTTAACTGGGGAGTGCCCCATTGACAACCTCATGCCTAATCTTGTCCACGTCCCCAGCCACATTCACGTCCCTGCCATCCCATATGCATTTCCATCCATGTTTCCCTCAGGAACGGAAGTCCCACCCCAGACTTCAGCAGGGTCACCCCTCCTGCTTTGTTGGGAGAGAGGGACTGGCAGCGGGGAGACCTATTGCTAGTGGGTTATCACTTGAGGAGGCAGCTGTTGGGGGATAGAGGTAGGTCCTTCCATTTGTGGTGACACCCAAACTCTTCTACCCCATCAGCTCCCTTCCCTGTTTGTCCAAGGTCCCTTCCCACTGTACCTTCCAATGGCCTGTGTACCCCTGCTTCCTCCCCATGCTCCACAGAGTGATTTTTTCCCACTAGATTAGAAGGTTAAGGCCAGGCTTCTCACCTCTCTGCCCCAGGACCCCGTGTCCCATAGAAGCCTGAAGAGGCAGTTTCCCAAGCCCCTGAGCCTCAATTTCTACTCCACCCCACCCTGCTTCTCACCAAACCTTAGCAGCCCCCTGGGGACACATCTCCAGGGGAGGGGAGTGGCTAGAAGGCAGGAGGCTGGGAGAAGTTGTAAGAAATTTGCATCTTAAAATGCAAATATATGTCATCAGGCTCCTAGCATTCCCACAGAGTCATGGGGTAGCTGAGCAGAGCCCAGGGAGGCGGGCCTGACCTGCCTGACTACTCCTATCCTCAGTGGGGACAGCGCTGCGCCTTCCCCGGCAGATGAGACAGCCCTGCCAGTCACCCAGGGCGGGGGGCATGACCTTCATCCCCAGCCTTCTCCTCCATCCTGCCTCCATCTGCTTAGCCCATTCCCCTCCACAGCCTCCTTGCCCCCCACCCCACCCTTACCCCAATCTACCTAGACTCCCTGAATCTTCACTCTAATTCCAACCGCATTGTTGATGCAGTTCCTAATCCTGACCTTGTCCTCATTACTAATCCATCCAACCATTAAGAATTATGTTTCAAGAGTCTCCCAGGTACCAGGTACTGTGCTGGGAGTTGGGGAGAAAACCAAACCAAATGATAGACAATCTAATCTAGTGGGGAAGACAGACGTCAATCAAAAATGTTAACCACTTCGCTCTGAGAGCCATTAATAGTTCAATTAAGCCTTCCCTGACGAAGCAGTTGTCAAGCTAAGATCAGAAGGAAGAGGAAAAAAAAGTCAGCCCCACGAGGTAGAGGACAGCATGTGCAAGGGGCCTGTGGTTGCAATGGGCTAACTCACTTCCTTCATGTTTTTGCTGAAAAGTCCCTTCTGAAAGAGCTCTTCCCTGGCCACTCTATATCTAAAATTTGCTCTCTTATACTTTATAATATCCTTCCCTGCTTTGTTTTTGCTCTTCAGCACTTATCACTATTTAACATAGTATTTAATTTACTTGGTTATCAAGTAGTATCGTCTGTTCTCAACACTAGAATGTAAGCTCCAGGAGAAAGGCCGGCATTTGCTTGGCTTACATTGCATTCTTAGGATCTGACACAGTGCTGGGCACACAGTAGGGGCTCTGTCTGCTGATGACGAATGAAAGGCACTTTGTCCCATATGGAAGAGAGGAAAGGGGAATGTGGTGGAGGGTGAGACGTGTGCGGTAGGCCCTGGAGCTCATGTGAAGGAAGGATGTCCTCATCTGAAGGGCAGGACGGAGCCACTGCCAGGCTTGACCTGGGGTTGGAAGGGATGGGGGTAACATGAGCAGATCAGAGTCTTAGAAAGGTCATTTCACTCCATAAGTCCAACCACACCCCCATCTCTAGGCTCAACCTGAACTGCAATTTCATCCCCATTCCTCACCAAATCCAGAACCTACTAGAACCTTCTCTCCATCTCGGAATCCCAGCTCTCTTTGGCCCTAACACGTCCCAGGAATGTGTGTGACCATTCCTCGATGCTGACAGAAGGGTGCCACCAGGGAGGAAACCTGGGTTGGTGCTTCCTGGTTGGCAGGAGCTGCCCCCGGGAGGCAGAAGGAAAGAGGGCAGGCCCAAAAAAGGGGGATGGGAATGTGACTCTCTCCTCACTCTCCCTGGGTTCCAAACACTGTCTGTTGACAGTGTAACTCCAAGCCTCTCTCCTAACATAACCTCAGTCCCAGCACCCTCCTAACCCTAGCCCTCTCCCTGGACCTGACCCTACGGCCGCCGTCCTCAGGGCTCTGGTTTCTGCGTTCCTATCACAGAAACTAGCCCCAATCCCACCCCCTTTCCACTCCAGATTTTTCTTCATAGCACTTACTATTTAAAACTATAGCAAAGAAATTATTGTTTGCTCTTTCTTGCCCTTGTCTCCCAGCTTCAGTAAGTTCTGTGTGTATCTGCAGTGCCCAGAACGGTAGCTGGAATGCTGTGTGTGCTCTTGAAACATCTCTTGAGTGAATGAAGGTGAGAAGGAATGAATGACCAGGTTCCCCACAAACCTAGTTCCCTTGGAGCCGAACCCTGATTCCAACCCTCTTCCTGGCTTTG